AATAAAAACTACAAAAAAGAATGTATATGTAGAGCTTTGTATAGTTTTGTATCACAAATACACTAATGGTAACTTGTTGTCTTGAGTAAGAAGGCACTCACGGATGGTTTGGATTTGATCATGTGATCGGGTCGTTTCTTGCCGCAGCAGTAGCGCATGGCGTCTCTCGCTTCTTTATTGAACACCACGCGGAAGAAGAAAATAAACGGCCCCTGAAACACAAACACACATGCGATCATCAGACGCTAGGCTCAGGTGTTCTGAGAGATTGCTGGGGCATTGATGAGCTCATGGTACCTGAGCGCAGCAGAATCCGGCGAACAGATAGTGGAAGAGAATCATGTCGCTGTTGACCGAGAGCAACGCCAAAATACACGTTATGGTCACCAGCAGCAACACGGCACATGCCGTCCTCAGACCCGCCCTGCACACACACACACATGCTTTAACACACACTACACACACACACTTCAGGATTGAGTGTGAACGAGACTCACGCCGGCACGTCTCTCGTCTCGCTGCTCTTCCGCTGGAGCGAACACGAGGCTCTCGATGCCATGATGTACAGGAACACGTTCATCTGAGAGAGAAACACACGCTTTCATACTCAGTACAGACTAGCGGAAGCATGCAGACTAGGACTGAAACCATTAGTCGACAAAAAACTCAACAAATATTTTTTGTTGTCGAATAGTCTTTTGATCTCATTTGACCTAATGCCTGCAGTAACACGGTTTGACCAGTGTGGCGCTGTTGCACAAGACTGTTAAGGCCCGTTCACACCAAGGACGATAACTATATAGTTCTAAAAATCGTTCTCAATATAAAGCCTTGTGTCTAAATAAGTTATGTTCCAAATCCTGGGAGATTTTATTCAGGGCATTATACCACAAACAGCCACCGGGTGCCATGCAAACTCCACTGAATTTTTTAATGCATTTTTCTGTCACAAATGTCTAAATTTCTCTGTCAGTATTACTTCTATCACAAAATATGGAATCTTGAGACTCAGACCTTTCCGATGATATGCATTTTGTTAAGATTCTAAAAAGCTTTGATTGTAAAATACCATAATACATTTTGTAATATGACACTTGACCCCGCCCACTAAGGGGGAGGAGCCCACTCAAAGATTTTAAAGTACCATTTCCATGGTAACGCAATGTCCGATTT